AAGGACAAAATCCCTTTGATGCCTTATAAACCTTGGCCCCTGTTCATCATTTTATCCTCATCCTTCACATACACTGAACTCCAGATAAAACACAAAGAAGTCCCCAAACACATCAAAGTTCTTTTTTTAATATTCCAATACTTCAGGTCTAGGAAACCATGTTCACAGGTTCCAAGACGTCCGTGGGTGGCATCCAAGGAGAAGACTCCCCGCTGAACAGATTGAAAGCCATCTTTCTCCAACACAGACCTTGATTCCAAGGGCTGTTCCCTGTGAATGAATTCCAGGAGCAGATGCAGATCTCAGAGACAAGTGGAAGCATCCCGAGGTACAGATGTGAGGCCTGGCAACTGAACTGACAACTCAAATAGCATCTCTCATCCATAAGCCAGGCCAGCTGGTCTGATCCACTCGCTGGGAGCAAGGCTGAGAAATGTGCCTCTCTTTTACATTTTGATGTGTCATGATTCACCCTTTTGTTGTTCTGGAACATTCTGAAGTATAGGAGGCTAATCATCCTTAATGGCATGACATCTGTTTGAGATGACTGGGGTCTCATGCCCAGAACCCCATTACGTCATCGTGAAGGAAGCTGCAAAGTCACTCTCTGTCCATTCTTTGTCATTTCCCTTTCAGTGGCTTACCAATCAAGGAAAGAAGAAAAGCAGTTTTATGCCTGGCAGTGCAAACTAACCTTCAAAGATAAATATGTGTTGCTAAAAGTAGCATACAGAAAAAATACTTGCAGTTGTTCAGAGAAGATTGATATTCCATTGACCACAGCAAAGCAAAAAAGAGAGAATGTGCATGTGTTTTAGTCCCCCAACTTCCCGTGGGGCTTGATGAAAGCTGGCCTTCATTTAGGTTTTCAGTGGCTCAAAAGAAAAGGAAAACAGCCTCAGTTTCTGCTGCTCATGTTGGAGTCACAACGTGGAAAACATAGGCTCCAAGGATCAATCATGCAATTGAAGATAGAGAGAGGGTATTTTAGCCTTTGGAACTCTTTCTAACCAGAATGGCACCTGCTTAAAGAGTCACTAGTTGCAAAAAGTCTTAAAGGGGAGAAAATGTAAACTCTGATCCCAGTTAGGTTTGTATCTTGTCATCCCAATGACCAATCTGAACCTAAAGTTCACAAAGAGAAACAGGGATAACAACTCCTTGTTTTGGGGCAGAGCACATGCCAAAGACTGCACTAAATACTTTATATACTTAATATTATTTAATTCACCCAACAGGACTCTGAGGTAGGTGGTTTTATCCCATTATACAGAAAATGATACAGAGTATCAAAAAAATCAAAGAACCTGCTCAACACCATATCACTTGTAAGCAGCTGAACCAAGAGTCAAATTCAGTTTGGCTTACTCCAAATCGTACACTCTTAACCTCTGTATACCATTAATTAGTATGAAGACTCGCGTATGTAGAGACATTTGTAGTTCAGGGGTAGAGGTTAGAGAACAAACATTGAATAAAGCTGGAGCCAGGGCAGTTTTCAAGATTTGGAATGTCCTGCCAGGTAGGATCAACTGATGCCCAGAGCTAGATATCCCCTCCACCCCAGCAATTCCAGGCTACTAGAGAACACTTATAAAGGCAAGAAGGTCACCACAGCTCTTCAAAATTCCCTCAACTGCCCCCTCCAAAAGTAATAAAAATGTAGGAAACGCGGAGAGGCACTGGTAATGCTCAGTTACCCCCTGGGGTAATTTGAGCCCACAATTTCTTTTTCAAAAGGAAACCTGAAGAAGCTAGGTTCAAAAAGCTATATAGGATATGATTCGATAGAAATAGAAAACATAAATAGAAATAGTGGTTGCCAGCAGAAAGGACATGAGGGTAGGAGTTGACTGCAAAAGGGCACAAGAAAACTTTTGAGGGGATGATGAAAATGTTTTATGTGCTAATTATGGTAGACTTGGCACAAATTTATACTTTTGTCAAAATTCATTTGATCATACACTTAAAATTGGCAAATTATACCATGTAAATTACACTCAGTAAAGCTAAATATATGTACACAATTCCCCCACCCAAAAAAAGCTAGCTAATGAATCTTAAGCTAAAAATTTTATCGTGTAATTTTGCAGTAAACCTTGGAGACTGAATCTCTCAGTTGTTCAACCTTCCCAGTGGGGAGATTTCCTGCAGGCAGCCACTGCTAGTTGATCTACCACACTCACTGGGAAGAAGGTTCTGAAGGGAATTTTCAGGTGAATTCTTCTGTACTAGTTTAAATAAGAAGCTGATTCCCAGAAGTGGAATTGCTGGGTTTATCCAAAGAAATTCAAAACACTAATTCAAAATATATGCACCACTATGTTCATTGCAGCATTATTTACAATAGCCAAGATTTGAAAGCAGTCCAAGTGTCCATCAGTAAATGAGTGGATAAAAAAGCTGTGGTATATTTCCACTGTGGAATACTACAGACCCAAAAAAAAGAAGGAACTCTTACCCTTTGCAATATTGTGGATGGACCTGGAGATCATTATGCTAAGTGAAATAAGGCAGTGAGAGAAATACAAATACCATATGACTTCACTCATATGTGGAATCCAATGAACAAAATAAACAAGCAAAATAGAGACAAACTTATAGAGAGCAGGCAAACAGCTGTTGCTAGGAGGGACTGGGTGGGGACAGTGGAGGAAATGAGCAAGAAAGAAAAACAAAGAAAAAAAATTCACGGACATGGACAACAGTGTGGTGATTGCTGGAGGCAGGATGTGAAAGATGGTATAGGGAGCTACATGGTGATGGATGGAGACTTAACAGGGGATGGTGAACACACAATACAGCACACACATGATGTGCTATAGAACTGTGCACCTGAAACCTGTAGAATTTTGTTAACCAGTGTCACCCCCAGTAAATTCAATAAAAAGAAAAAGAAAAAAGTGATTACTAGAGTCACTTTGGCTTCCTGCCTCCTTTCCTGAATCTTAGAGGTCATACTATATATTCAGGAGAAACATTCATCTGGAAAATTGCCTAGAGCCAGATTAAATATAACATCACTGTTTTTAACTTATATCTCACATGACACACCTGTCTTTATCTTCATATCTTGCGGCATTTTGAAGGCCATACCTGTCTTTGTGTTCAGCTCTGAAAGTCAGGGGAAAATCTTGCTAAAAATACTAAATATTGCAGGTGCCACCTGTCTCAAAAGACTTGGCATGGATTTAAAAATTAGTGTTTTAGTAAGACTAACTATACCAGCCTCATCTGTCTGTCCTTCCAGTTCTGGGTCACCCATCTCCTACACACTCTTTTTGATAAAGGTACTCTCTTCCCAGTATGGTAAGTTAGTCCCTTTGCTTCTTGTACAAGGCCTCCTGCTTGGGAAAGATCTGGAGGCTTCTGACTCATGTTAATGGCTCATTTGGAGAAGGAACATAAGCCACACAAATATAGTCTAACCCTGCAAATAATCAGATCAGTCATGCAAATGAATAAGTACATAAGGTCAAATCCCAGAAGAAAATAGTGCAGTCTCATACAACAAAAGCTGGCAGAAAGAATGGATTTTAAAGGGAAATGAAAAAGCCAGCTTGACTTTGGACTCCTTTAAAAGCTATTAATGTTATCTGCCATCATGCATGTGGTCTCCGGGCACTGCTATTTCAGAAGTAGCCATTCTCTGTACCTCACAGCAAGGTATGACCTATCCTATTAAGAGGTTTTTCCCTAATTTTAAAAAAAGAGTAAGTAAAACAAAAGCTGACAAAATTTTCAAAGCACATTTTAATTGTTTATTAAAAGGGGAAGAGTACAGCATTGAAGGAGCCAATTCTATAGACGAGGACTCATGAACATTAGAGGAAAATAGACCAAGATCAGAAGACAAAGCCCCCAAAAGCACAGAAGTATATACACCGACAAGCCATTCAAACTGCATTGATTTACGAGGTACCTGCTGCAGGTTTTCTACATTTCTCCCTCAAAAAAATAAAATAAAACTTTATTCTCTTACAAGTTTCATTCTTAAACAAAGATAAAAATTGCATGAAACAATTGGCATGATTTCATACAAGTCTCACATATGCTCCAAGGGCTTCGTAATATAACCAGAAATGCTGTTATTTTATCACTGCCATCTGATTTTCTTGGAGTCTTACAGTCATGTAAGTAAAAGTTCATGATGAGAAAAAAGTAACTTTATTTTATATCTGTTCCATAGAAAAACTGTGTAATTTTTATAAAAAGTAGAAGGTAGGAAGAAGGTCCTACCTTCTTTCCATATGCAGGGAAATTGGTCGGTAAGTCTGTTTCCAATCTTCCAAGCTGCCTTCAAGGTGAGGTAATGAGATAAGAGGGTTTTACTGATTCTTATATAGGTAGACAATGGGGAAAAATAATCCAGTTCCTCATCTGCAGATCCGTATGGGGTCGATTTGCAATGGACAATTTAATGTATAAAAGGGTCTTTCCCCAGAAAACTCAGAGCATTTTAGAGATAAAACATAGACATGCTAAATTTATTTATCAGCTCTGTACAAAACACCATTTCAGATGCTAGCAAGAAAAACAAAGTTAGAGATTTTGTTCTTCAAGGAGCTTTAGATACTAATCTGCCTAATTTGGCTCCAGGTTTTATTCAGGTATGGAAGAATTAGTTGGGCACATGGAGGAGACAGGTCATTGAGCTCTCCCACCTGTACAAAGGATCCCCAAAACCATAGAGTTCTCTTTAAGTTTCTTAATTTCCAGATGTCACCTCACTGAAGGCTTTCTTGGATTCATAATGTCCCTAGACCCCTGAAAATCCCTCCCTGGAAGGATCTTATTTCAGGAGGGAAGTGCATTCCAAGAGGCAGATGACTTCCAAGGGAACTCATCAAATCAGGGCAAATATCTTAAGTCTCTAGAGTGGTAGAACTATGTTCCCAAATATTAGTTCTAAGCAAATATACTCTTAATCCCCCCTGCAAGTCTCTGAATATGTGAAGAATACCATTGTTTTTCAACTAACATTTTCTTTCTCTCCCACCCTAACAGCTGAAGAGTATAGTGGGGTTCTGCTTAAAGACAAGATCATAATTCAGAAGGTAGCCATTGTTGTAGACATAAAGTTTCTGGTCAAAAGGATGATAATTAACGCTTTGCGTGGTTTCATGCATCTTATGCATTATAATGTTTAGTCTACCCTCTTTCTCTGTGTTTGTGTCATAGTAGTAGAAAATCTACCCTGGTGTTCAGAGTAGAGTGGCATACAGAACCCCACGTACCATGAAGACGTTAGAAACAGATGGTTTATACTGTGTGGTATACCAAGTGTTTAGCACCTTAAGTGTGGTGTCATTAAGTTTACTAGTCACACATGTTACCAGTACTGGCTTCAGTTGAATAAAAAAATCACCCGCAATCCATGTTCATCTACAGCCAAAGTCAATATCTTGCCAGCCAACATTAGCATATGAAAAGCGGTTATTATATGCAGCATTAGGGAGAGTTGGAGTCACAGCAGCTGTGTTGGTAGTCAGGTTAATTTTGACGATGTTGCGGGTGTTTAACTGGTTGACATACATGTTGTTTCTGTAAACTGCTATACCACCACCTTGACCATAGTAAATCTGGTATTCTCGGTCATTTAAATACAATAGTAGATCATCCAGTGTGTTATAGACTCTGTAATAATCCAAAGTTCTCCCATCTGTATATGAAGGTGCCGCCCAATGCAGCCCTTTGTCTGGACTCTGGGGAGAGTGATTCTGACCCCAGGCACCACATTTGAAGGCTAACCTTCTTCAGTGAGGGGAACTACAGTAGGCCGGCTGATGTTCCCCATACCACCACGAGCACAGCTCCCCAAACAAACAAGAAGATAAAAAGGGCATTCTTAGAGAAACAGAACAAGACACAAACAGTTTAATATCCCAAGAACTAAAAGAAGCTATAAACGTTTTTCTTGTCAAGGTTCAATGACAACAGTGGTTCTGATGGAGAAGAGCCAAAACCTTCTCTTGGTTTCAGTCTCCGTGCAAATCTGCTGTCAGCTCTAGAGAGAATGAGCTTCTTTTTCCATGGATTGTCTCTGAATCTAGAAAACGAGGATAAGGAAACTGCCAAGGTTGGAGGGAAGGCCCAAAGACAGAAAAGAGGGAGTTGGTAAATTTAATGTATTTTCTTATTTAATATATTTTCTATCAAAAAGCATTTTGTAAATAGTATTGTATTTCATTTTTCTTATAGAGAAATCAAGAATGCAGGATTATCCCAGAATCTTATCTTGTTTCCATAAAGCCAGAAAGTGCCACTCACCAGGGTCAGGGAGAATCAATCATAATGAAGAAGACTTTCCTGTGCAACTATCCTTTCCCTTAACCTTTCTGCCTTCTATGGGACCCCAAGTGCATATCCACACCAGGTACCAGAGCTCCCCCAAGCTCATCTTAACAGAGAAAGCTTTGAATATGGCATTTTAAAGATACAGAAAGACAGTCCTATAACGGTGGGATTTCAGCCTTGAGAAGCCATGGGAGTTATTTTAGGACACCATTGCCGGCTCTGTGCCCAAAGCATAGCCCATCACATAGATCACTTGGTGGTCATCTCGCTGCAGAGTTATAAGTGGGTCGGTCTTGCTGCTTATAACCTGTGTTCTACTCCACCACAGAATGACAGGCACGTACTTCAACATTCTCATTCTGATACTGTTGTTGTCACAATGTATACAATCAAGTGGGACCAGACTCAGTGGTCCACTGAACCTACATCCCCTCTAACACCTGGGGGAACCACTCAGGCTGGGCAATGGGCCCTTCACATTGCATTTTCTCTGAAAAGCCTGCAAACCAAAATCATTTCTGAGTTATAAAAAAAATAATAAAATTCTTCCTTATTTCTATAATTACCATTCAAAGAGTTGAATATACATTTTCCGGGATCTTAATAATACCCTTAAAAATGGGTGAGACAGTTTATTGAATAACAAAAAAAAATGCAACCTCAAGTACATTCGAGGTCATTTTCTCTTATCTGGTTGCCTGGAGCAGAGCAGGTGAAGAAAAAAGGGAGCAGAACCTGAATCGCTGGCCCTGGCTTTAAATGCTTGGAGGGAATCAGGGAGCCGTGGAGAGCATAGGTGGTGAGCTGGAGCCAAAAGCAGAGCTCCAAAGAACTACATGAGGTTAGCATTGTCGGGGGGCAAGGGGAGCAAAATTTTTTTGCCTCTGAGTCTCTGTTTCTGACCCATTTCCTTCCTTGCTAGATGTCTCCCCTTTTCCCTGCCTCACTCAGGGACTGCTCAGAGGTGAAATCATTACTAGAAATCCTGCTTTTATTTTTCCAATCTACCTGTGCTTTTTAGTTCCAGAATTAAATATGTGCTCCTTAAATGCTCTCATAAATCTGCATTTGGTGGGAAGGCCAGCCAACCATACAACAGGTAGAAAAATGAAACTACTCTATACCCAGCCTCAAATAATTTTGCATATCATTAAGCAGAACACAGCCATGGGTTTATTTTAATAATGCATGCACCATTTCATAAATAAAAAAGCAACATGTGTTCAGCTGAGAGACTGCTCCCACTAAAGAAATAATAAATAAAATTATAAATTATTATTTCTTCTCCTAAAAGTGATCTCTCAGATGAATGCTTGTTTGCTTTTGTTTATGAAACAATGCATGAATTATTAAAATAAAGTTAGCGGTGTGTTCAGTTTAATGATAACAAAAATTGTTTGAGTTTCCATATGCTACAAACTGGATTTTCTAGTTAAAATATCTTCCCAAGAACTTATTTATTCAACTGCATTTCACTCTGAGGAAATGAAAGAAAGTCACTTTTTTCTTGCAGGTTAGAAGACTTAGGACCTATTTATTTAATTGAATCTTGTCTTCCTGGAAAGGAAATATCCCAAGCCAATAGCAACAAAATATTTAAAGAAAACTTATGATGCATATAACTAATTCAAGCATTATCATGGGGTTAAAGATAATAAACTACTCTGTCCTAGATGTGTAAATCCTTATATATGAATGAACCAAAATAATCTTCTCTTTAAAATCACTGCTACTGAGAGCACCAATAATAGCAATGGTTCATCATTTTACATGTTAGTCAGGAAATTAAAATTATACCTGGTATAAATATTAAAACTGTGTGACCTTAAATCTCTTTTTCTCACCTCCCCACCATTCCTAAATATTCTCCTATTCTTTTTGTTATGTTCACTTTATGCTCTGTCTCCTTTGGGCCATTTTTAGGATGCTGGCTCTGGTCAAAAAGAAGTGAATACAGAGAAGAAAACTCAGCATTGTTGCCAATACTACAGATGTGGCCACAGCAGTGAAAAGCTGTGGCAGACTTCCCTGCTTCCTGGCAGCAAACAGTCCTGGAAACAAGACTGAAACTGACAGCCGGTGTCCACTGCTCATCTAGCCCAGACAGAGTGTCCAGCCCTACGCTTACCCTAACCTTCTCCTCACCCTCCCTTATCTCGCACCTCTTCTTGGTCCCTTCCTTCCTTTCAAGGGTGTGTTAGAGACACTCCATCCCCCTCCTTACCCATCCCATCACAATTTTACCCTGCCACTGACATAATAATGCACTGCCCTCCCATGACCTGGGAATTATGAAAAAACAATGAATCATTTTACATTTTCTGGTAGAAGAGGACACAGCATAGAACTGAGAGCAAAAGTACCCCTTTAGCTCCTCCAGAATCAAGGAAGAAGAGGTAATTTGGTATTAATCAGGTTGGTGGGTTGTTGGAACTTCCTTGTCACTCTGGTAAGCACAGGTGTACCTCTCTCTATTAGAGCATCTATGGAAGGCAGCCTGGTACAGTGAAAATATTCCCGGACAGATGCCAATTCAGTCCTGACTCCAATACTTACTGCCTGTGTATCCTTGATCCTTGAACCCTAGTACCCTAGTATCCTTGAAGTTACTTAACCTTCTGAACTTGTTTTCTCGTGTTAAAAGAAAAATAATAATACCTACTCTGCAAGACTCCTAGGAAAAACAGAGAGTAGGTAGGTACACGTAGCTCAATAAATGGTAATTATCAGCAGCGTACTCACATTATATTACTATTGAAGGTATATATAACTATCTGCCTTCCTGGATAGTGGTTTTGTACCTGTCCTGGTAACCTTAGTACTAAGAACAGGGCCAGCCATACAGTGTTCATGTAATAAAGAAATGAAAGACATTAAATCTCTCAAACCCAGCTTACTTACTCATATCTATAAAACACCAGCCCTCTATCCTAGTGTATATCCTAATTTTTTTAAAACCCTGGTGTTCACAGAATATAATGGAAGGGAGCTTTACCACAATGGTGGCTTTGGCTGTCAATCTCTCCCCCATGGGCTTCATTAGATGTTGCCATGGCACTTTGAAAATATCCTGGCAAGCCCCATGATGAGACTTTAAAATACTGTAACTTGGCTTTTTTTAGAATATCATGGTTAGCATTTTTCTTTAAAGCCAAACATTACATGCCTGCAGAGGGAACTTAATCTTAGATCTATCAATATGCTCTTTCACCTGGACATGTGAACTTTGAGCCAAGAGGAGAATAAATAGACTTGTGAGAATTAGGCAAGTGATACAGTAATAATCATAAAATAATTAAGACTAAATTAACTCTGAGTAATTGGATATATGCTACTCAACACTCTGCTCTCCCCTAAGCTTGGGGCTTTGGCAGGCCACCCAAATCTTCCATACTCGAATAGGTCACTAACCATTTCCTGAGCACTTACGGGTGTCAGCGCAGAGCTTGGCATTGCTGAGCATCGTGGTGCTCGACCCCTGAGCATTTCCACCACATTTTGCCTATGCAGTCATTTAGATTCAGGGGGAAAACACAGAGAGACAGAGTCAGTTGTTTTCGGGGGAAAAAAGTTAATGAGCAGAAGGTCAATTATTTTAGATTAAAAAGTTCTAAGAAACGAAGCAGAAAAAGATGGTATTTGCAGCATAAACTAAATGTTAAGTGCACTTTGTTGAACCCTTACTACATGTCCTGGTTCTGAGATCAAGCTGACGACAGGGATAGCAAACCACAGCTGCAAGGGAGGGACCATGAGAGCATAGAATTACTTGATAGCTGAGACTTGCATCCAGTCTTTGTTTTCCATGCAAGTCTGCAGTCCTAAAAGCAGAGAGGCCAAATTTTCAAGTCCCATAACAGTGAGGAACTTTAATTAAAGTCTCCACAGGCTCACGACTAGGTGGTGCCTGGGGATTTTTCAATTCTGCATTATCAACCAACCTAAACAGAAAGAGAGCAAGTGAAAGAAATTGATTTAAAAACATGACAAAAAGTCAGTTTAATATAAACATCATAAATATAATATGAACAAAGCTGGAGGAGGGCCAAGTGGCTTGGCCAGGATCCAGGTACAGCCAAGGTTTTAGGAAAGTGAGAAGAAATCTGGGTCCAATTTGCTTAAACAACACAGCTGGGCTGCTACGGCCGACAAAAGTCTAAGTGTGAGCACCTAGGGGAAAGTTCTAGGGGGAAAATATCCTAATAAAAACAACCCAACAGACTCCCTTGTTTTCCTCCTTAGATACTAAGCAGTGTACTTTCTCCCTTACCACTGTCCTTGAGTTATTGACACCTGACACTCTGTGTCCTGAGGTGACCAGGAAGGGAGGGGCCTTATATTTTAGCCTCAGCTCTGTCACTACCTGTGTGGCCTCAGGAAAAACAGCACCCTCACCATCTAAGTCCACTCCTCTGAAAAATGATGGGTCTAAGCTAGGTGGCCTTGAATGTTCATTCTGCTCTAAAAATGTCCCCATTCTAAGGGATGAATAGAAAACTGTGCTGGAAAAAATTTATTCCATGAGGGAGATTTGCTGAGGTTAAAAAAGGAAGAAAGAAAATCTTGCTCAGGTATTATCAGAGGTTGTCATTGCTTCGACTCCTGCCCTCAGGGAGCCCTTGGTGGCCCAGCACAATGAGCTCCCATTTACAACGTATGTTGGCACCACTGATCCCAGACCCAATTTAGCCTCACTTTGTTATAGAAGACAGAACGTGGCCTTTATCCTGAACCTCCTCTCTATGTCATGCTATGACAGATTCCCAACTGCAGAAGGAGGGGGAGTCCCCTGAAAAGGACCAAAACGCTGATTACTACGGCAGTATCTAATTAAAGCCTTAAACAGGCCAGCTACAACGACAAGGATCCAGGAACGCAAGGCCTAAAAGGAAACAGGCTGTGACAATAGAAATTGATGAAAATAACAAGAGCTGACCAAGTGATGAAACGATACAGTCCTCTCTCAGGCTGAGAGGCTCACAACCTATAACAATTGATTCTCTGTGACAAGGCGTCTCTGAAGGACAGGGCTGAATACTGCAGCTGAGAGGCTGGCTTTAGTTCACCTGGGGGGATGTGCTGAAGCGCACAAGGACCTGGCACTGCCTTTGTTCACAGCACGGTTTTCACTTCAATTATCCTCGTTAGTAATAGTAAGTGCCAGCGTGTAAGTGCCGATCATAAGAGCTCTGAGCTTCCCAAGCCTTGTTTCATTACCCTCACAGCAACCCTGCAAGGCAGACACTATTATTCTCCCATTTCATAAGTGAGGAGATTAAGGATCTTTTGCTGTGGCCACATAGGCCTTTGGGGTCCCAAAGCCATGCTCCTGACTTCTACACCCACTGCCTCCATTCACATTCATTAGGTACTTTCAGAGCACCCACCTCTGTGCTATACTGGACCCCAAAGGTGATTCATTACAGAGTGAGATGCCATTCCTGCTCTCCAGGAACCCAGTCCACAAGGGACCGCAGGAAATGCCCACAAGCACAGGACATGTTGGGGCCATCATTAAATCCTCACAAAATTTCAGGACACACTATACAGCAGGTGCTCCACATGCATTTAAGAAAAGCACAAAGGAGCCCTGGCCAGGTGGCTTGGGTGGTTGGAGCATCATCCTGTACACATCCTCATAAATGTTTCTCTCTCACATTGATGTTTCTCTGTCTCTCTCCCTCATTCTCTCTCTCTCGCTCTCTCATCCTCTCTCTCTAAAATCAATAACATATCATCAGGTGAGGATTAAAATAATTTTTGTAAGAGGGAAAAATAAAAAGAAAAGCACAGAGGAAAAATAAAGAGGCAGAAGGAGGGGGGGTAGGAGAGAGAAGGAAAGGAAGACTCAAGTCATAATCCCAGCTCATCAGAAAAATGAGCCAATCAGCCCTTGCAATCCACAGACAGCACAGAGTCCACACAGATTCCAAAGGCTTTCACCAGGCCCCTGACAGCAACTCCATCACCAGAGGGATGTTTGCCCTGTTAGTAAATGCAAAGGGGATATGTGTAATATGTGGATTTTGTTTTAAATCAACTCACTGTTTGTGCTTTTCCTCTGTGAGCTCCAGAATGTGACAGTTTGTAAAGCTACTAGGGAAGGAGATTTAAAAGATGGAAGGGTAAACCCAGAACTGCAAAATGCCCATCCTTGCTTCAGGGTTTTAATCCCAAATCCCTTCCCACCTCGATCTAGGACCCTGGGGGCCTGGCTTGGGGGGTAGAAATATGGCATGCTTACCCAGAGCACTACGAGGCAGGGCAACAGGAACATTTTCACCTTTAGAGTCTTCACATTCCTTTAGCTTGTTCTTCATAATTGCAATTTCTCAGCAAACAGTAAGGACATTGTTTCTGTCTAGTGCCTCAAGCTTCTCTACCAGGAGAGTCATATTCCTTATCTAAGGAGATAAAAATTCAGAGTGATTTTATATTATTGTGCAATTTCTTTCATAAACATTCCAGGGCTGAATTTGTCACTTAGTGAAACATTGCTAGAGAATACACCCGAGATCCTTCTGAATGGTTTCATTTGGAAGAATACATTTTATGGTTTAGCGTGAATGCCTGTCAGATTTCAGGCAGATGTGTGTGACAAGAAGAAATTGGCGAAGATTTTAACAGCTTCAATAATAGAACACAGGCTCAGCCTAAGAATCCACAAATGTCCATTAAAGTTCATTTCTAATAACCTTCTCCTATAAACTTGTGTTTACTCCTGTTGTATCATAATTAAGTTTCTAATGAATGGGGAAGACCAAAGAGAATTTAAATTCTAAAATATGTAACTAGAATTCTCAATTATAGCCCACGCCACAACTGTGCTAGTAAATTCTCATTGATATAAATTACCCAACCATGGTCTTTATCTATGGGGTTTAAAAGGCTCCACTGATACATACTCAAAGACATTCCTTTAAAAAGGGTTGCCAGTATGTAGAGAAGTTCCAGGAGGGGTCAAAGATTAGATGATCATTCAAAAGGAGAAACAGACCTAGTAAGTCCAAAGTCAGGTAAACTGTGGCTTTCTAGTCCCATGAAGATAAATCCAGAACTGAGAAAGCACTTGACCTAACTTGGCGATGAAGTTGTTCATATAATCTCCTTTCTAGAGACATTAAAAGGCCATTTGGTTCTGGGACAGGACCCTGATTATTAGCTGGCACCTGCTCCTCAGTCAATATGTTCTCATTGTACTTAACATACTAGTCAAAGACAAGCACCCAGCTCTAGTAGAACGCCAGAATGTGTCATGTGGTCATAAGAGAGCACAGAATTAGAAGTCAAAAGAGAGAGAGATTCATATATTCCCATCTGAACACTGATAACTGAAGACATTTATTATTAATTTATTGAGAAGTCAGTTCACTTCTTACCTCTACTTCCAGCTGGTCAACAATTTCTGGGCTTCCAAGAAAACTGTCCTTCAGCCAGATGATCAGTTTCTCCATCTCTTTCACTTCTAACTGGACAAGAGTCCAGTTCAGTATAAGAAATGGTATCCTTTTCCATGATCTCTATTCAGACAGTTAGGTTTGAAAGTTTCTTTTCATATATACTGATTAATTGGACATACCCCTTCACCTGAAAGGAAATCAAAAAGCTCAAGTCAGTTCCCAAAGTAATATCATATAGTCTTCCTCCACTACTATACCCTTGGGGGCAATTTGATTGCTATCAATCATTTTTTTAAAGAGATAAATCAAAAATATATTTCACAATGGTTTACCTCACCAAATACAAACTAAAAAGAACTTATTACTACAATGGGGAGAAAGTAGATATTGCACTTGCATAGACTAAAGTAGTTTTGCTTCAGAGTCATCATTATTCATACGCATATTTTCATCTCTAATTTAATATTTGAAGATATTACCTCTCCAAACTAAACTGTTTTGAATCAGAGTTTCTTGCCTTCCCTCCTCCCATTGAAACTCATGTTTTAAATCAGTTTCCCAACCTCAGCACTATTGACATTTGGGGGAACATCATTCTTTCTTGTGGGAGGTTTTCTTGTGTGTTACAGGATGTTTAGCAGCATCCCTGGCCTCTACATGCCAGTAACACCCACCCATCCCCCAGGCAGGACAACCAAAACTGTCCCAGAGATTGCTCAGTGTTCCTTGAGGACAAAATCACCACCACCACCACCTTCCATCCACTTAGAACCACTGCTCTATATATTTTCTAGAAGAAGGAGAAATGCACTAAGTAGAACTTTTTCTTTGTTCACCATATACAATGAGTTCTGAGCCTCTCTTCCTTTTACAAAATGGTATAAAGACCTAACTTACTACACAATATGTGAGTGTATGTGAAACTGTAAAGGGCACATTTCATTAAGTACACACACATTTATTCCAAAAACTGATTATTGTAATCAGACCTTTAAATAGCCCATTTGTTGCACATATTTGAATATCTGATCATTTAGTTAAAATACTTCCAAAAATTCCCTTGATGGTTTAGCATATTATTGGAATCTCCAAATGGATATTTCAATAAACACAGTTGGTGGTTCTTTCTGTGTCTGATCTCTAAAAGAAATGCCATGGCTTTTTGAAGGACCTGTTCATTAAAAGTTGCTGGTTTTAGTTATTTATTTTTTTTAATCTGAACATAAATGATACTTTCCCCCAAACTATACTAATGTCAAGTAACTGATCCACAATGGCTAGATCACTTCAGAGCCAGATGTTGGCCTCTAATCCTTCTACTACTAAAAGCAGTCTTAACTTTTGTCATTTTAGCCCTTCAACTCAACCCAACTGTGCAAATTAGTATAGACTCATAGGTCGCAGACCTAAAGGGCTAGAACTTCGGGCAAAGAGGATTTTAATGAAAGTTGAAAATGCAGCCCTTGGCACTACTGGTGTATTTCCTCAGGCAGCTGATGCTCACTGCCATCAGACGTGTCATCACTCAGAGGATGACAAAGCTGGTGACATTTTGGTAGATAATAAGGTTAAAAAATATATATATGTATACAAGTCCTGTCCAGAAGGTATCCAGCCATGTAATATAAAAAAGAGACATTTATTGAAGAAAATACAAGACACAGAAACATTATATGCAGGACAATGATGCCTCAATCCTCTTCAAAATAGGCTCACACAGTTCTCCCAATTACCATCAGCTGCTCCATTGTATTTCCCTAAGTCTCATCGATGTCTGAAATCTCTTCCCTTTCAAAAGTAGGTTTAGTTTTGAGAAAAGCCAGAAGTCACAGGTGCCAAATCTGGGCTGAAGGAGCATTGAATCACCTGGGTGATCTGATGTTTCACCAAAAAACTGTGCATGAGATACGACGCATAGTGGGCACATTGTCATTATGAAGCTGCCAATCACAAGTTGCCTATAGCTGAGGCTTTTTGAATCATCTGAGTACTTTCCATGGGGGAATGTCCAAGCTTAATGCAAAATTTGATGTAGGTTCATTGCTCTGCTCTCTCAGTTGTTTTGAATGTGACGGCCATAGAGTATGTATGCTCATTCAATAGCATCTACCACCCCCAACTGACAAGTAGTAGAGTGAAGTCATTGTTGCTCACACATGTGCATTCCAGTCCACTCTCCTTGGCTGCCAGGTTACATCGATGTCGTACAAACCAATCTTGTTATAGGAACAATGGCTGGACTTTTTCCGGACAGACCCTATATATATAAAACCTAACAAACTCCCCTCAAAAGTATAAACACAGATATAAGGTAAACAAGTTTCAACTTCTAAAAAAAAGAAATCAGACATAAAACCTGGCCTATGATTAATAATAATAATAAAGTGCCAATCCATTGCAGAAATGAAAGTTTGCAAAGTGAATATTCTTGTTGGCATTTGGCCTTGACAGCTCTTGGAACAAATGAAATACCCTCCATTTTACTAGAACATTTTGGTGGCAGATTGCAGCTGTTGTTCTACAAAAATGAGTGATTTAACTGTCATCCCTGCTAAAAATGTGGCTCTCTCTAAAAACCAAGGCATATATTGGAGTTTGTTTCCTATGAGAATGCATGATGTGCCTGCACTAGTTCGGCCACAAAATGAAAGATCTCTGAGTATCTGTTTGGGAAAAAGATTAGGTTCTTTCAGCTGACATTTAAAAGGAAGTTCATTGATGTTTGGGAAACCTGGAATTATCCATGGAGTTATGGAAGGCAGGGGAGAATTTGAGGATGAGCCAGAAAAACTTAACACTGTAAACTTTACTAATATAAGCTGACTGTACAGATCTCTAATGCTGAAATGCCATGGAAAACTCTGAGAGCATCCCAGCTCTGTCTGGAAGCTGCCATCTTGGCAGAGGCAGCCCTGCTTGTCCTTGGATGTGTAGCAAGAATACGAGTCTAGCCCTAAGGGGACACATCCCTGTGTCAGTATCTCTACTCAAGACTCCTCATCATCACAAGTTGAGCTTTAGAAGATTCATCTATGCCTGCCTTCAATTCACAGCCTGACATTCAGCGTTTCCATGCTTATATTTGTCGTGCACATATATGTCATTGACGCATTCTAAGAATCAAAGTCTGTTTGGGGTTTTTTTCTGGAATGTTTGTGTTGTTCTGTACAATAAATATGATCCTGCAATAAATATGGTGCAATACAGAGGCTATTAAGCTAAAGAATTAGTCTGGCTCATGTTTCTCCCAGTTCCCCAAAATCTGTGATCATAACTGTGGTCAGATTATTTGAAATAAGAAAGTGTACTTTGCAGCATACTCATTTTAATATATCTTCAAAAATAAATGCAACAAGATTAAATGAGCTTGAATTGACTATCACAACATATGAAGCACTTTGGAGCTATACCCACCTAAACTAACCAGTACTTAGTGGGCAAATCACTTAATTTCTCTAAGCCTTAGTTTTCTGCTATAAATTGGGAGTAATGGTATCAAGCTCAAAGATTATTGTGAAGAATAGAGATAATATATATTAATGCCTAGTATAATGGGTACCATATAAATTACAGCAATTATTAAAGAAACAGTATTTCAGTTTTTTTAATATGACCTTCTAATTTTCTACATTTCAGTACACAAAACATTGCTCAATCAATGTCATTTGTTTATGGGTTGCCTAAACGTCTCACAGGCTGCCTCAACCTTCCCATGTGTGAGGATCTATTAGCAAATACTTGATATTAAATAACTTGCCCCAAAGACCATAACTTTCCAGAGAAAATAAAATCCTGAGCTGCCTTTTTTGTCATACCCTTCCAAAGTACAGTCACAAGAGGACATATTATAAACAACAGAAAAGTATAAAATGCTTTCAGCATCTCAGACAGAGACATTAGTCTTCTCCGTGTACTGGCAGATAATGAATTAATGTAAGGTAATCAAAACCCTTTTCTACTGGCCTGCCCAAATGGGCATTCCCCCAGGCCCCTAGACAAATGGTGATTTCCAAGGCAACCCAGGGACAGCTATAATAATTCACCTGGAACCTCAAAAGCCCTTTGCTGAAGAGCTAACTTTGGATTTGAAGTCATTAGTGACCTGCTGCCTCTCCTCTTGGGTCTGCACTGGAGGATGGTATCAGTACGGCTGAGAGAAAAGAGAGCCAGGATTAATTCCTAACCTGCCCAGAAAGGAATGACCCTTACATTTATGTCTCTTCACCTTTCTGAACCTCAGTATTTCCATTTCTAAAATTAGAAGAACACAAACATATCTGCCTTGACAGATGAGTAGAAATGGAAGCATTTAGGAAAGCACAAACACAATGTGTTACTGTTATTATTACCTGTCACAATGATCTATTATGCAAATTTCAACAGGCAGGACTACTCTTTTCTTAGGCCTCAATCACCAGTTTTTTTAGGACCAGCTACTGACATATTCAGAACTAAAAGTTTTCCCACCTACTCCACACTTCTTCCCTGCCAATTATTAGCAAGGCAGATGCCACCTGCTCCCCTCACAAAACTGGAATTAACTGTCCCACACTCACAAACCTGGCAAGATACACGCTCTCCCTGGAGCAGCGTGGGGTTCCACACTGCCCTTCCCGCTGCTGCCAGCAGAAAGACATGCAAATCAGCAGCTTGTACCATTTCAAAGCAATGACTCTAACTGAAAAGATCTTTACCTAGGATTATCTTCTACTTGTTATGTTTTTATGCATAACTTCTTATCTGTACTTGATTATGCTGGAATAAGACTATGAATATTAATGATTGGAATTTATAATTTAGTGCTGTGCCTTTTCTACTGATTAATTCAAGGACATTTATTTCTTAAAAAGCTGGATTCCTGAAGTAGTCAAACACGTTTTCCTGGACACTCATTTAAATTTAGAATATTTATCTACCAATTCAGGTTCAAAGCAGAGTGCTAGCCTTACTATAATTTTTGTCTTAAAGGATAACTATGCTGGATGTTGTGGTAACTAAACTTAAATATCTCAGGAAAACTTATTTTGAATCTTGTAGGAAGGCCAGGCTCCCTGTAAATTAATAAAGTTGTATTAAATAATGTATAATGTGATTATAGCCTTGCATGAACGTTGCCTCTGCAGAAAATGGAAGTCTTTCAAACTGATTTTTAACTTGGTCAAAAAGGTAGAAAGGGTCAAAACTGGAATGCAAAGTCCTCTTGCTCTAGTCAATTCAGAGGAAGGCAAGCCCTGTACAAGCACTTTCCCCACTAGAGGAAAGCACTCATCAGGAGGTTTGAGTCAAGGTCTTTATTTACCAAAGCTGAGTGACCTATTAGTTTTGATTCAAATTCCCAGGGAAGCCATCAATTTTGGTGTAATGCTGGACATGTCTGATTTAATGTTCCCACTGAGACAATAGATGATAATCACCAAAAAAGAGAGTGGTGGGGGGAAGAAAGTAAGTTAGAAAGAGGAAATAAGAGGAAGAGAAAGAAAAAAGGAAGGAAAGAAGAAGAATAAGAGGCAGAAGACTTGGGGGAGTAGGGGAAAAGAAGAAAGAGGGAGAGAAAAAGAAGGGACCTTCCAAAAATAAGAGAAAACCAAAAAGTTTCAAAAAATTAAGAAGAAAAGGGAAAGAAAGATGAAGGGGATGAACATGGGGAAGGACTGAGGCAAGGGGAGAAATAAAGAATAAAAGAGAAGAAGTAAAGGAATAGGAAAAACGTGAAAGAGGAGGAACATAAAATAAAACATAAAGAGGGTAGAGGAGAGAAAAGAAAGCAAAGCTAGAGGGAAGACCAAGAAGAAGAACCAAAGGAAGGAAAAGACAACAAAACAAAAACAATCATAGAGCTGGGGTTTGCAGGGAGAGCTCGAGGCCTCTTTCCAACTGCAGTGCTGAAGGGGGTCTATCCATGGCGTGACTGATCTCGGTCCATTTCCTCCCCATGCCCCGACTTTTCCTGCTGCAAAGAACTCCATAGCTGAACTGAAAATAAACGCTAAAACCTCCATAGGATGCAAATGTGCTGTCTTTGATACAGTGAAGAACAACTGTTTAAAAAGTCCTGAATAAAAAGTGTTTTGTGAAATAATAAAACAAACAAAAACTAACGCAGAGATACAGACAACAGAATAGTGGTTTCAGAAGGGAAAGGGGATGGGGGGAGGGCAAGGTGAGCAAAGCGGGTCAAATATATGGTGATAGAAAGAAACTAGACTTTGAGCAGTAAGCACACAATAGAGTACACAGATGTTGAATTTTAATTCGCACCTGAAAATTACATAATGTTATTATCCATCGTTATTCCAATAAATTTAATTTGTAAAGTGTTTTGTTTGTTCTTATTGAGATATTGTTCAAAAATGGGAAAATGCTTACTTCAGAAAGCTCTTCCTCGAACTTCTGGGAGACAATGTGAGCTGTGCTTCCCAAGCAGTCCACTCTCTCCGCCAGACTGGTGGGGTCTGCCAGGGCCACAGAGCACAGGAGGGTCCCGCAGTCATCCTGGGTGCCGGTGAAATTGGAAAACAACAGTAAACAAAAATAAGTTCAATATCAGTAACAAGTGGAGAAAAGAGCTTTTTGGCAACTGAAGTGACAGAAATTGGCTTGTCAAAAGAGTGCTTAGAGGCGAGTGGAGTCCAATTCATAAATGAACAGAATCATTAAAACTAGCTAAAACAGCCACATTTCATGCACGGGCAGTAAATACTCACAATTTTAGCCACATCATCACCTGTTTGGCTAAACCACTGTGTCAGCCACCTTTATCTCCAAGATAAAGGCTTTCTTGAGGAGGCTTAAAGGAAATTATTACTGTCCCTATGTAAGGAAAGGGAAATAAAGAATAGATGAGAGCCCTAACTTTAAATTCCAGGTCTGCCACTAACTGGACATGAACCCTTTTGAAGTCCCAGTTTCCCCACCTGTCAGAGATAACCTGCTTCACGGGGTTGTCCTCCAGATTAACCGCATAATGTAAACCAAGTCCCTAGCACAGGGTAGGTGATCAGTAAATGTAAATTTCTTTTTCCTCCTACTTACTCATTCTCTTTTCCTCACATTTACCCAAACCCCAACCCAATTCATCCTGTTGGAATGAGGAAAACATCAAGGGTATGGGTTACAGTGCAAATATACAATGCAAATTCACATCTTGTCCTCACCTGGGAAATTGTGTAACTAACATCCTTCAAAATGGAAACAAATGAACCATTTGTTAAAAACCGAACAATGTATGAGTTTGAAGGTTTTGTGCAAATCCCTAAAGAGTTTTCCAGCTTATGCCCTGCCCAGTGTATCTCAGTTGGTTGCAGCATCATCCCATAGACAAAAAGGTCACGGGTTCAGTCCCCAGTCAGGGCGCACGCCCAGGTTGCAGTTCCTGATCAGGGTGCCTTTAGGAGGCTACCCTTTGACGTTTCTCTCTCATATTGATGTTTCACCCCACTCTCTCTCCCTCCCCTCCCCTCTCTAAACATATCCTCGGGTGAAGATAAAAAAAAATTTAAGTTTCAGAAAAGTCACTTTAAAATATTTAATGTTTCTTTAAAATATTCAGGCTCACACTTCAGTGCCGCTGCATATTTTAAAATGACAGGTTTGAAAGATCCTGTTTCTCTTTTGTCCCCTTTGAACTCCTCTAAGGGGATCCCACCATAATTAACATTTTTTTATTACTACTATTGCTTTACAGAGTAACTCTTGGCAGCCGACTGGCTGTACCTTTCAGTGGTCCCATCTGAAGGCCATCCCAAAGTTTGCCTGTAGTGTGTCAACCTGAAGTGTCTCTTTCTGAAACCAACAATAGGAGAGCAATGGTTTGCAGAGTCTGAAAGAGACCCAGGCTACACCTCCCAAAGTTTAGATCAGCTGGCTGCAGCCAAGGTTGTGTTTTCTGTGCATTTAATGTCCAACAACCTCTATGATTTCCCAGCAAGCTGGACTTAGATGTTTCTGTAATCAAAATTTATTCCATCAGAGATCTCTGGCTTTTGCAACTAAGTTGCTTGTTAATTTAACCTAATCTTCTCTAAGATGAGCAGATATATATATAAATGTGTACCCTAAACTCTCTATGCCAAATAAATTCCTGAAAATGACCTCAATTTTCCTTGCCAATCACCCCCACACCTGCAGGAACTAAGGAATAGGAGGAGGGGCAAGCAGGTTTCTGCTGAACACCAGGACTGAGAGAGGGATTCATGAATAAGGACTGGACAAGCCACACTGGGAACATGTCACAGAGGCCACCTTTCCTTGGAACCAGCTTTATCATTCCCTCTGAAGATAGAAAGACTCCAGCTCAATCACGCCAAGGCTTTTACAGAAGGACCAATCTATCATGGGCTTTTGAAGAAATGGTTTATTATAATAACTGTCTGCCAAAAAAAAAAAAAGTCTTGCATTGCATTTTGACAAGGGAAGGTTAATTAGCTGCACAAGGCAGGGTTGGACCATTCTTCAAGTTCTCTGAAAAGCTCTGCCAACTCAGAGAACACTGGAGATCATCAAGCAGTCTCAGACAATCAACTAGATACCACTAGCTAACAACTTTTAATCCTGAAGTTCACCTGAAAGGCAGGCAAATCATTATGAGCCCTGCTGACAGTCATTCCACCAGCTTCTATTGAACATCTCCGTCCCAGGGCAGTGGACTCCCCAGCTGCCATCCTGCTTATCATCAGTCCAGCATGCTCAGCTGACATCAAAATGGCCCATAAGTTTGATCAGTGTCTCCCATTAGAGATATTTCTGCCTCTCACATTCAAAGACAATGAAGCTAATGGTGATGGGTCTCTCTCTGTGGTGAATGCTTAAACTCCATGTATGTGTAACACAGGGAATGAAAGACAAAGGCAAGCGCTTGTCCCTTTGGTTATTGCAAAGGTACGTGACCCCCATAATGGAGAGCAAATAGTACCCTGCGTGCCCCCTAAGACACCTTACCCTGGTAGGTCCTCACTTACTTGGCATGTGTTCAATTAGCATTTACTGGTGCCTACAACTCGCCAGGCTCTGGTGGTAGGGAGACAGGCAAGAACTGATCCCTGCCCCCATGAATCGGGCCCATTTTCAAGATGAAAGCTGTCTATTTTTTCGACAGGCGCCTTAGCCTGATGACAGAAACACATGACTCATTGTGATTCTGACTCTGCCAATTACTGTGTGGAGAAAAGCATGGAGCCTTTTCTCATCTGTGAAATGAGGACCCTGAGAGCGGCCCCTACATAGTGGCGTCAGGGGGCGGGGAGCAGCATCTGTGGCATGTAGAGTTTCTGAGCACTACAGCAGAAGGTGTGACTCACATTTGTTATTTGAGGTGGCAATTGACTCTAATTAGCAGCCAAGTGTAAGTGACTGCGAAGATTCAAGGCATAAAATAATGGTACTCAACATTTTCAAAGTACAGAAAATGATACATTTGGAACTAGCTCAATGACAGTTATAAAGAGGTTTTCTACCACTTTCCAAAGAGCTCATCAAGCTGACAGCCAGCCCTAGAAAATCGGGTTTCTAGCAGAAGTGACACCTTATAGTCTGCTGTAAAAGAGAAGTTGGAGTTATGATACTGACTCACCAGAAGAAGAGAAGTAAACCAGGAAAGAGATTAAAACCTCTAAGTACAATTTAACTACCATTTCTTTTTTAAAAAATTTTTTCTTATTGTTCAAATACATTTGTCTCCATTTTCCCGCCACCACTTTCACCTGCCCCACCTCATTTCTTATCTACTTTTAAATATTTATCACCTTATCAGACAATAAGCATTTTGGATTTCTGTTTCTTGACCTACATTTTATTTTCTATTTATTTTAGCTGATCATCTTACTCAAATACTGATTTCTGATTGGTGATGACATTTCAAAATAAATTATTATTGTTATCTCATTTTTTTTAAATGTTAACAAGTTTGATTGTCTCCGTGAAAATCACGTATTTAAATGAAATAAAATGAGGCATCTTATGTCTGACTACAAAGAACCTTTGTGCATATTCATGATTCCCAAAGCAGTCTCCTTTTAAAAATAAGCAGTTTTCATCTTACTGCCTTGCAATTCAGTAAGCTGCATGGAGAGAGATGGGGAAGGGCACGGGCAGGCAGTTTGAGCTATAGAACTTGCTGGCTTAGTGCCCTTAAGCCAATGACTTCACCTCTCTAAACCTCAGTTTTCACATCTCTACAATGGGATCATTAATTGTATCCACCTCTTAGAGTGAAATAAGATGATATATATTATGCACTTAACAAAGTCCTGGCATTTATGAGGCACCCAATGAACACCACTGCTGACATTTCTATCTGGGTCCTATCAAACCACTTTTTAATCAACAAATTTTTATTGTATATATAGTCCTGATGATAAAAGCAACAAACGGAAGCCTTTTCCTCCTCTTTTCCTGTTGACCCTTCCATTCAGACATGATCATGTAAGACCTGACCTGTGAGTAAAGGTCATAGAAATGCAGGGGAATGGGCTGTAGGGGATTTAAGACTCCACCACCCCAAGTCACACCTTAGCATGGAAAGCCTAGGTTTTGCAGAGCTAAACTCCTACTGAAAGGCCCAGAGCTGATGTGGGCAGAGGAGAGTGAGGAACTGCTTCTTGCCCCCTAACTTCTCATCCCTCCATGCCTCTTCCCATTTCCTTGAAGGACTCATTGCAAAGAACTGGCTCACTACACATGTTACTGATGTGGCCTCTAGTACATGGTTTGCTTTGTTGATTTGTTTGTTGCTGCTTGTGTTGTTGTTTTGAGGTGGAAATGGCTCTAAAAATTCCCTATAAGGAAGTTTGAAAGAGAACTATTACTCCTCCAGAGAACTATGTGCATGTAAGAGCGCTCTCCTAGAGACCACTGTCACCTCCCCTTGCTTCTGTCACCCATCTCCTTTACAAATCAGGCTCAGGGAGACTGTCAGGGTTCCCCCCAGACCACCATGGCTCTCACTCCCTCCAGGGCTATCCTTCACCAGCTGCAGGTCTCTGTTGGGCAGTAAATCAATTGGACAAACTTTTCTGGAGCTACTACTGGCAGGACCCCTTCCCTAACAGCTATCAGCTGGGACAGAACCTGGGCATCTCTACTTTCAGAGCACCCCTCCCATCCCTCTCTCCATTCTAAAGTGCAGCCAGGTTAGAGACCCTCTGTAAAGCTTGATTGTTTCCTGAACTGAGATGTCATCTCTCTTGCTAACAATTTAATTATTTCACCCGGGTTTTAATTCATTTCCTTGGCACCTACTGTTAACAAAGGGAGTCGTAAATCTTTTAGAGTGCTCAGGTCTAGCCATCCATGAAATTATATTCAGGTCCCCAAAAAGCAAGAGGAAGGGAGTGACTACAGCTCTCAGATTCTGGGGCCTACTCACCTGGGACATGGAGCTAGAACCAGATCAGGAGCTGTCACTGGTGGCAGTCCTGAAGCTGGAGCCAGAGATGAAGTTAGAGGTGAAATCAGTGACAGGTAAGGAGCTGGGTCTCGGGTAAGGGGTCAAGGTCCCCCAAGCTGCAAAATCCTCTGCAGGTGGGCTGAGGGGGAAAAGAAGGGCTTATAGGAAGGAGAGGTAGGGCCTCATCTTGTGTTTTGGTTGAAGCAGCTGCCTTCTGTCCAGAGTCCAGGGCTCCTTATAGTGCCTTGTAGGGATTTCCCCATGGCCAGTTTATGGGGAAAGAGGAAGTCACTGGTGAACATGTGATGGCCCTGAGAGGGTCAAGACACCCAGGAACCTGAGTCACCTCCACACCTTTTCACTGAGCCCTCACTCTGCCAGCTGCCCTTTGATATGGTTGTCTGCCACCAAATATTAATTCAAATGTCCTTTTTCAAGCCTAATAGCTCATTTCCAACATGCTACTTCCTTGATGGAGACCATATGAAAATAGCCTTTGTGGATGAGACAGAGCTTGGACGTAGGTCCCAAGAGGGAGAGGCAACCCTCCATCCTTTGCCTGGAAGCCATTTCTAGTGGCCCATTTCACTGAATGCTGCTCTCCAGAGAAAGACAGGGAACTCCGTTTAGAAACTGTGAATCTCCCCAGGGTGTGATTCCCTCTTCAGCTGCTACTGCCCAGGTTTCCCCTTCCAGTGTCTGCCTCTAGACAAAGTTCTCTCAACAACCTGTGCCGAAGGAGGGACTAGTCATGTTCTGCTCCCTGGAAATTCAGATAGGGGTCTGTACATAAAGTACTCACCACTGTGGGCTCCGCGTAGGAGAAAGAAACCAAACAGGAGTCTGCCCAGACCCAGACAGGGAGGTTCACGTTGGGCAGTTTCTTTATCCAGAGGACTCTGTCTGCACTCCATTGTCCCAGACTCTCCTGTGAGCTGATCAGGTGTTCAAGAACTCAATGCTTATTCACCACGGAACTGAGAGATGGGGATGGTCTTTAGGCCCCCTTTGCAACTCTCCAACTTTCCATACACCTTTGTACCCCTTTGCTTTCCTCCCTGCAGAGTAAGAAAGGTATTGGCTTGAATATTAAAAATCAGCTGTCACTCTGTGGTATTTGCAAGTCCTTTAGCCCCTCTAGTGTTGTAACAATTTCTAAATTGTTAGAATTAAGTAAAATATTATATAAGGAGTACTCATAAGCTTTGAAGTGTTATACAATTGTCAGGTTTTTGTGCTCTTCTGTTGTTTTGCTTTTATCTTCCTAAGGCCTGGCTCAGCGAGCAAGGTTGTTGGGTTCAAAATAGAGAAAGAAGGTCCCTGCCCCACTTCATCCTCCCCCACCTCTGGAAGACCTCATTTGAAGAGCCCTTTCTCCTCATAGTCTCCCTACACTCCCAGAATAAACACTGCCGATGTGAGAAACAGTCTTAAATCATTGGAAAATTATTCAGATACTCAGGAGAGAAAGAGGTAAGAATATAAGAAAGAATGGGAGAGTGAGAAAAGAAGAGATAGAGATAAAAGGGGGCAGAGAAGGACAAGTCTCTATTTTTGGTGTACCCAAGGTGTCCTGGGGCTGCATCCCTGGTCAAGTGCCCCACTCTGCCCCCTGACCCGAGGGCTGAGTAGACACCCTGCCTAGATCAGTCTCCCCAACTTTAAGGCCCACACTCCCCAGCCATCCAGACTGTCATTGCTGCCTCCACATTAGGGCACACCACTTTCAAGCCACACAGGGTATCTTCTTATGCCAATCTTACACCAATTTTCAGGTGGGTGTGGTGATTAGAGGTGGTTATAATAAACCCAGGAAGGACAGTAGCATTCTCCCAGAAGCTCTCTGGAAAAACAGGATCTATCTACATATCTTCTCCAAAGTTAATCTATGGTGAAGACTGAGAGGTCAAGGACAGGTGATCTATGGCTAGCTCTTATAGGGTAGAAGGAGTATTTTGAAGCCTTTACCTCTATTTTGAAGTTCACTGTTCTCTATGAGAAGAGATTCAGCCTTAGCCTCTTTGGCTGAATTTTCTAACCATTTAGTTAGCCAATCCAGGACAGGAAAAGTATGTGTGAGAATGACACACGGTACATTGCATCCATCAACCTGCGGCTATGAATATGGATATGGGGAAGAGCGCTTTGCTCTCCCTCCCATCACAGTTCTCCCTCTTCCTCCTGATTCCCAGCAAAGCAAAGGACAAAATTTCACCTCACTTGTTAGTAGTCTCTGTCTGTGGCTCTAATGAGCTTTCCTTGTCTTTTTTTTTTTTTTAAAGGAGCATGTCAGTGTTCTTGTCAGAAGAAAAAAAAACTTATTAAGTTTTAATAAGTTTAAAAAACTTATTAAGTGATAGCCCTCAGTCATGACTAACTTTAGGAGACCCCTTCCAGAGGGGTTGCATTCCTTTAGGAATGAGGCAGCAATTCTCCCAAACATAAATGTGCCCCAGCCAAGAAACAACCAGTCTCCAAGCCCCTGCTCATAAGCTTCTTTGTTCCTGTATGCCTCCATCATTTTCAGAATGAAATCTTAATCTGTTTGATAGCCTCAAATGCACAAAAGAATAGGTGATGTCCCAGTAATGAGATTATCAATGATAGTTTGATCAGTTCCTCTGCAAATACCTTTGTCCTAAGAAACAATAAGCCTCCTGGTTATTTGACAGCTTGAAAGACAAGAGGAAGTTATCAACATGGCAAGTAAACAGTGCATGATTTATAAAAATGTGTTTCCACACTGGGTTCCCTCTAGAGTGAGGGGTCACTGAAATTTACTTCAGCAATAGCATTCTTCACTAATGGCTTGAAAGTTACTGCTTATGCACTTCATTAGGAGAATTCCCTGATGCTGTACTTCTTGAACAGTTGCAACAGAGAGAAGAGATACCCAGATAAACAGAGCCTTCATTTAATCCCCATCATTAAAATCCCTGTCATTAGAAACCAGTGCCAAACATGCTGTGGTACTTTCAGAAGAGAGTTTCTTAAGGTACTTGGTGTATAAAATCACAACGGAGGCCATGTTGAGTCTACAAATGACTTACAGAGGCTGTGCTGGAGTGACCCTTTTCACGCCTGTTGAATCCGTCCCCCAAACCACCCCAATTCCTATTAACAATACCAGTAATCATGTGTAAAAATAACTATCAACTGACACCATTCATGCATCTTGGAAGAAAGGTTAGCAATGTATATTGAGCCTGACTCTGCAAAGTATCAGGCTCTACAAATAGTTATAAAGAAAGAAAGAATAAAGCATACTTTTTGCTATTAAAAAATGTCTAGTCACTCAGGAGAGGCAGGCCACTATCCTAGAAATAAAACACAACACTGATTACATGAATGTTGAAGCATGACTGGAGAGACTGTGGTGGCCCAATCTGGATGGGTTGCTGTGAGAATTTGCTGAGTAGTGAGCTTCTGGAGGATGGAGACAAAGGTCTTGCTGGTTTTGAACCTCCAGCAGTGAGATCAGTGCTGGGCCCTTGATGCCTAATAAACATTAGCACTCTGAAGGGATATATTTAATAAGCCTATGAATGAATGAATGTTATTCATTCTAGTGTTATTAGAGAAAACACTAATTCTTAAAATTAGCATTGGGTGAAAGGGAGTAAATTCCAAGCAAGAGCAATTACATGAGTAAAATCCATCAAGCAACTTGAATTCTCTCCAGGGTCATGATGATATCCCTGCAATGTCATGTAGCCAACTCTAGCAACTCATCCTCGAACCAGAGTTCCTAAGGGTGTTGCTCAGCCTGACCCAGCCCCTCATTCAACATTCTAGCTCCCTAAGCGTATTCTACATCCAGAGCTACCTAGATACAGTCATCCCATCATGGTTTAGAAGAATCAAACTCTGAAATACAAAATTTTCAACCAAATACCTATGTTTTTCAACCTGCAGCAATATCATTGACACTAATGAGATGCAGAACCAAGCTAGTGAAGATCACGACTGATGGAAACCAGTGCAAAGTTCTGAGCAAATGCTGACCAAAAAGTGTTGGGTGGTAATGTATACTGATGTTTTAGGGCATAAAAGAGAAACTTTACATATTCTAAGATAAAATTTGGACTAATAAGACACAAGATGGCTCAGAAGTATTTCCTTTGGGGATGTAATTGTGGAGGCAGGAGTCACCACCATCATCAGGGGCTGAGGGACTCAGAAGACACCAAAGCTCAGACTTAACTCCACACCACACCAGAGAGCCTCTGCCCAGACTGCAGGCTGTCCCCTAAGTTCTTCTTGTCATCTCCTGACCACTGCATTGAGGCACGCCATCACTGCATCCCCACCTGTTGAGTGGTTCACACCTGTTGGATTTTGTGAATCAGCCAGTCATCCCTCAAAGCCAAGTTGAGTAGGTTTTCCCAACCAGAGGTGAATATGCTTCTTCCTCTTTTTTATCTGCCCCATCGCAGAAGCTCTGCTTGTCTCACATTCAAACCACCTGAGTTATAATGTCAGTTCTCAGCTGTACCTGTTTTTTCCATAGCTATTTGCACACAACTAGCCTCATACATCTCTCACTGAGAGAAAGAGGCAAACATTTTCTCTGTCTATGAGAAGTTGTCACCTGGAAATTCTAAACATGACCACTGCAACTATTGTAGCATTTTCAGATTCAGTCACATCTTTTATTTTTCTGTTTCCATTACTTCTCTGCATGAATCTTCTCAAACCCGCAATTGCCAAGTTCATGCTGGGTGTCTGAATTCTGCACTTAGGGACAAGTCAATGTAGTAAGAAGGGCAAAGAGGCAAAAATACTGAGCAAAACTATTGGATATACAAAATTCCTAGCTGTGTGACCTTGGTCACCTAAGCGCAACAGAGTGTGTCAAACCTGAATTTTCCCATATGGTAGCCACTAGCTAGCCACATGTGTCTATTACGCAGCTGAAGTGTGACTTTGACTTGCCCAAATAAAAATGTGTTATAAGTATAAAACATGCACTGGATTTCAAAGACTTA